AGTGGTCTTGTATGTCTTCCATTTCCTAATAATTGCCCCCACAGTTGATTTCTTCGAACCAAGCTGCTTACCTATTGCAGATTCAGTCTTCCCAGCCTGGTGCAGGTCTACAATTTTGTTTCTGGTGTCCTTTGACAGCTCTTTGGTCTTGGCCATAGTGGAGTTTGGAGTGTGACTGTTTGAGGTTGTGGACAGGTGTCTTTTATACTGATAACAAGTTCAAACAGGTGCCATTAATACAGGTAACGAGTGGAGGACAGAGGAGCCTCTTAAAGAAGAAGTTACAGGTCTGTGAGAGCCAGAAATCTTGCTTGTTTGTAGGTGACCAAATACTTATTTTCCACCATAATTTGCAAATAAATTCATTAAAAATCCTACAATGTGATTTTCTGGATTTTTTCTCCTCAATTTGTCTGTCATAGTTGACGTGTACCTATGATGAAAATTACAGGCCTCTCTCATCTTTTTAAGTGGGAGAACTTGCACAATTGGTGGCTGACTATATACTGTATTCTATTCTACTGTATTTTAGTCAATGCCACTCCGACATTGCTCGTCCTAATATTTATATATTTCTTAATTACATGATTATACTTTCAGATTTGTGTGTATTGTTGTGTATTGTTAGATACTACTGCACTGTTGGAGCTAGGAAAACTAGGATTTCGCTACACCCGCAATAACATCTGCTAAATATGTGTATGTGACCAATAAAATTAGATTTGATTTGATTTTGATTTTATATTTTTATATTTTTATGTTTAGCTCACATAATTTAAAAGTATGCATTAAGGTGTCTGTAATATAACAAACGTGTCAAAAAACGAATGTAGACATAAATAAATGCATTATAAGAGTGTACCTATACTGTCATAGCCGACCGGTCTATTTACTTTCAAGCATGGTTGGCTATGGCTTTTGAATGAGCGATGGATAAATGGTAGCCTAATATTTGTTGTGTAGCGGGAATAAACCAGTCATGTCAGAAAAGGAGAGACATGCCATGCAATATGATTATGATTTAGGCTTATATAATAAAAGTAAAATAAATAAATTAGGCGACATGGTGCTATGCGATCTTCTTACCAATGGCAAATGCATCTGTTTTATCATTAGACCTACGTTTTAATGTTTTTATCAGCATACCATTATTATAATTCCCGTGCATCAAACATCTCCATTTCCTACTAAATTAAAAGATTTGCTTGCAATACAGTTGATCAACCACTAGAAGTTGTGCGTACACATGGTCTGAGATTTGCGTGGAAATATGCACACTTTCCAGTCAGTTAAAAAGTGATAAATGGAGAAGTCAAAGTTGCAGGTCCATTATGATATTCTGAGATAGCAACTTGGCATATATAACAAGGCAGTTAGAAATGCCAGACGGACTAATTTTTCTAACTTGATCACTATTAATCAGAATAATTCGAGAATTGATGGCCTGATAAATCCTACCCCAGCAAACCTGTGAACTTTCCGTCACATCTAAATGTTATGAGTTTGCGGCATATTTCAGAGATAAGATAACCAACATTAGGCTGGGTATCAGTCAAGCAAGACCTGATTAGAAGTTTGATGATATGTGCCGTAGTCTACCATACAAAGGCACTATGGATTTATTTTTCCCTGGCTGACACAGGCGTGCTCAGGAAAGTGATATCACAATTTAAGCCTTCTACCTGCCTTCTCGATACTTTCCCCACCACCTTCTTCAAAACAGTTTTAATTGCATATCTGAAGAAGTGCAAGCTATTGTTAATCCCTCCCACTTTCCCCACTGCACTAAAAACTGATATGGTGAAACCCCTTCTGAAGAAAAGTAATCTAGATTATTCAGTTTTTAGCAATTTTCGGCCAATCTCCAACCTTCCATTCTTCAGCAAAATTCTAGAGAAATTGGTGTTCAAACAGCTAAATGATTTTTTAAGTGGCAACTGTTTTTTTTTAAACAATTCCAATCTGGTTTTCATGTCCACCACATCACAGAGACAGCCTTAGTTAAAGTGGTAAATTATCTTAGGGCCAACACAGATGCCAAACTGCTCTCTGTCCTTTTACTCTTAGATTGAAGTGCTGCATTCGACACTATTGACCATGATGTCCTTCTGGACAGACTGGAGAGGTGGGTTGGCCTCTCTTGTCCAGTTCTAAATTGGTTTAGGACCTATTTAACCAGTTGAGAGTTTTTTGTCACCCTTGGTGAACATAACTCAGAGAAAATACATATCACATATGGAGTTCCACAAGGTTCGATTTTGGGTCCGGTACTGTTCAGTTTATATATGTTACCCCTAAGCAGCATTATCAGAAAGCACAGCATTGATTTTCACTGCTACGCAGACGATACACAACTTTACATTTCTGTGTCCCCAGAGGATTTTACCTCCACAAATAAATTATTAGACTGTATTCGTGATTTAAATACTTGGATGGCTCACAACTTCCTCCAGCTAAATGAAGACAAGACTGAGGTACTTATTGTTGGAGCCAAAGCACAGAGAGAGAATCTTGCCGCACATTTTAATTCACAGGCAATAAAGATAAAACACCAGGTAAAAAAAACCTAGGTGTTATTTTAGATTCTGAACTAAATTTCGAATCACACATTAGGAATGTCACCAAAATTGCTTTTTACCACCTGAGGAACATTGCCAAGGTGCGGCCGTTTCTCTCTCAGGCTGATACAGAGAGACTCATCCATGCTTTTATTACAAGCAGGCTTGACTACTGTAATGCTCTCCTGTCTGGTCTACCCAAGAAAGCCATTGGTCAACTGCAAAACATACAGAATGCTGCAGCACGGGTACTGACCAAGACCAGACGGAGAGCACACATTACACCGGCTTTAAGGTCTCTGCACTGGCTGCGAGTTTTAGAATACATTTTAAGATTCTTCTATTGGTTTTTAAATCAATCCACACTTGTGCACCCCAATACATGTCAGACATGCTTTTAAGTTATGTACCCAGTAGGTCCCTCAGATCCACTGGCACTGGCCTTTTAACTATCCCAAAGCCTAGGACCAAGAGGAATGGAGAGGCAGCCTTTAGTTATTATGCCCCCAGCCTCTAGAATAGCCTGCCAGAGTACCTGAGGGGGGTCGAAACTGTGGACATATTACAAAAAAAAAATTTGCTTTGCTTTTCCTTAGGGTGTTTTTTAGTTGTTCAGTTTGTGTCATTCTTTTGTTTTTTATCTTATGTTTGGTGTGTAGTAAATATTTCAGCTTTTATTTTCATTGTTTGTTATTTGTTTTTTCCTATAAAGCACATTGTGTTGAATTCCATGTCTCAAATGTGCTCTATAAATAAAACTTGGTTTGATTTGATAAATACCAACCTTTGCAGGAAAACTGGCGCACGCAAAGTTTTGTATTTTTTTTTGTGCACACCCACTTTTGGTTAATGAGACCCCATGGTGCAGATGTCAACCGCTATGAACTGATTAAACTCGACTGACCCCACTGATAGGCGGAATCTTCTAAATTACTGGTCAATTTGCCATCAGCCTCACGTGAATTGCCCATGGAAAAACTGACATCGGACATGCTTTTCCTCTGTAGCCTATAGTTGCTTAAAAAAGTCAGAAACCAATTGTAACAGGACAGGTGAGAATTGTAGTGAGCCGAATTACTGAAGGAGGTTCATCATCTCTCATGGAACAATGTCATAATGTGGGTAGACTGCACACAATTCATCATTTTGTTTGAACAATTCGTTATACATTAACATTGATAACGTACTTATGTTGCCCGATGCAAATAAAAGTAATCTCTATGTTATGAAACACAAATAAAATATGTGACACGCGACTACGTCAGGGTGCACGCACAGAGGAGGTTGCGAAGAAACAACGTTCGGGGAATATTTTGCTAGCATAGCATCTCGACTCGTGTAATTTAATCGCTGGCTACGTAACTTTGTAGACCGTTTAGTTGACCGAGTTAGCAAAATCGCTAGATTTATGGAGCTACTTTGTCATTAACTTACAAATGTTCAAGTTAACTTACATGAATCGTTAGCTAACCCACTAACGTTGGCTAGCTACTAGCTACCTAGCAAGCTTTATCTTGCTGAATTGATGCATCTTCTCAGTTATCTTTCTAGCTAAACTTGTTTCGTTGGCTCATCATAGCAAGGATTCATTGCTGTGTTGCCTAACTTTCCTGTAAATCACAGTATTTTCCCTGCTAACGCTGCAGCGGACAGTACAGACGCAGGCCTCTGACTGGAAACAATGAGCTCGGATAGAGCGGAGACAGCCAACAGCTAGCTAACAAGTTGGCTACTGTAGTAGCTTGTATCGGAGGCGAACTGAAATCGCAGATTGTTGAGGTAGCCAATGGCCTTGTAAGTTAAGTTATATTTCTCCAATCTGTAGACTACCGGTCCTATCAGAAAACGTATCAAACTAAGAAAAGGAAGACCAGTAGCTAGTTAACGTTAGCTAAACAAAGTGAAGTTCAACATTTGCTATCTTGTTAACTGCTTGCTTGCTATCAGCCTCACCGGTTAGCCAGTGAACTTGGCTACTGTTAATCGTTTGCTAGATAGTTTGTGGTGGATCGGCTAGCTAAATAAACCCCACAAAACGAACTAACGTTAACATTATAACATATTTCTCAGAATGTCCCGTTAACCAAATAAGTAGCTAGCTAGCACTAGCTAAGGCATGAGTTAGCTAGCTTACTGGCAGCGTTAGTTACCACTGACACTGTGTCGTCAACTCTATTGCACGTGCCGGTGAATGTTTTCAAGAGTCAAACAAGGAAGGACTAGTTCGCCAAGTTATATATGTGACCCTACTGTAATTGACAGGAGATAGTTGTTGATGCGAGCTGTTTTTCAAAGATTGCAACAAAGTGTAATCTACTAACGTTATGTTACTGCTGCGTTCAGCTAGCTAGCAAGGTTACCCAATAAAAGTGGGACATTTTTTGTCAGCTGGCTAGTAGGTTAGCTAGCTATATCCTACTGAAATACAGGGCTGCCAGACACATGAAAGTGCAAATTGAAACCTGCAACCCATCCAAGGTCCCACAAAACGACATGTCAGAAGACATGTCAGACAAAAGTGACAGCCACAACAGTCTTTTTTTTTTTCTCAACCGAGACTGTCAGAATGAACAGGGTTCAGGATCTCAGCAGCAGAAGGTTCACCTTGTATCATCATCAGACTCAAAATGGCACAGCACTCAATGCAGCAGCCTAGTCACTGAAGGACTCAGCAACGGAACCTCCCTGGAGAATGTTCATGTTCTTTCCCACGGTAGTTCTACCAATGATTTTGCACTAAGACATGAAATCTCAAATGATCTGTCATTATCTGCGGTCGACAAACCTACCACAGTTACAGTTGAAGAAGACCTTAGCTATGAGTTACAGCAGGCCTATAGGATATTTCACGGGTTTCTCCTGGAAAAGCACAAAGGCATTACGACTCCATTCTTGACTCCATTCTTGCACCCAATCGGCCTCAAGGACCACACTGACAGGGCAGAGGGTCACCTTAAGCAGTCCATGTGTTTCAGAAGGATGGAGGAGAAGTTTGTTAGCCGGGAGTATGAAACCATCACAGAGTTTGTGGCAGACTTCAGGCTGATGCTAGAGAACTGCTACAGGCACCATGGGGTCGACCACTGGATTTCTAAACAGGCACAGAAATTGGAAATGATGCTTGAGCAGAAGTTGACACTGCTGTCAAGGTAAGAAAGTGCAAGCCTTGCATACATGCATTCATTACAAAGCCTACATATTGTACATAGGCTACATTCATTCACACTTAACACACATTCAATTATATAGATTGTCTGCTGTAGTATTAACTAAAGAGAACACTTTTTTTTTATTACATAACTTAACCTTTGACATCAGTAGTGTTTGTTTGATCCATGACCCATGAAACTACTGAAGCCCTAACCCTATGATGCTCTCTCTGTATCAACCTTCCCAACCAGGACACTGCGAGAGAAGACCACTCTGGCGGTGACCTCCAAGGGTCGTTTGGGGACCGAGGATGAGAGGGGGCCTGTGGGCACCTCTACCAGACGGAGGTCCGTGCCTCGCAGCCTGGCAACTATAACAGTGGGGGGAAATGAGTCCATCATGATCCAGGCACTCAGGCTGGAGGAGCAGCAGAGAGCCAAGGAAGAGAAGAGGTAAGCTATGGATGAAATGTAATGCTCCAGTGCCTGAGGCTAAGGCCTGGCCAGGCAGATGTTGGGTTTTCTATGTCCCGATTCCCTCCATGGTCAGAATAAAAACAAACAAATTCCATAGACTAATTAATCCACAGAACCGTGACACTATACATACAGGATTACAAAAACATTTTATAATATTTAATTGTAATTCTGTGTATGACTATATCAAAGATGTGGCTGTGATGGTTAGACTCAGTGTTTAGTCGTTGTTCTAATTTATTTCAATAACTTTTTGACCACACTCCTTTTGATTTGAAAGAAACTTCCATACATATGTGCCCATGGCGGAAGTGGTCGTAAATACATTTTTTGGACCTGAATGCCAAAACATTTAGGAGATTGAGGTGCTCAAAGTTGATCCATTTTGTGTACCCTACCATTGAGACATCCATGTATTCATCACTGGAAAATATAAACGGTTGAGTTTGGTATCATTTAAAAGCTTACAAACAGGGATGCCAGATTATTTTTTAAATTTTCGCATGTTGTAGTTTACACCCTATTTTGAGACACAGCATACTGTTGAATGCAGGGGGTGGGTGTCATTTCAAGCATATAAATAGAATGGACATATTCCTTCAGACCACTGCAATTTAGCTAGTACATAATTGACATTTAAATTGAATTAAACATTTTAAGTCCAATTACTACCACAAAGATGGCCGCCGGTCCACCCACCGTCCAAATGTCAATTTAAATGGGAATATCCATTTTATTATTTACATTTACATCATTTAGCAGACGCTCTTATCCAGAGCGACTTACAAATATCTATGTTTCTATGATTTCAATTGTTTTCCTATGGAATTGACAGTATAATTTAAAACAACTATTGTTATTCAAGTCAACATTCTCTGATGTGTGGACCTCCAACCATCTTTGTTGTACAATTTGAAAGTTGACATTTCAATTGTATTCCCATTTTAGTACATTTATCAGACACCCACCCTGTATTCAAGAGCATGCTGTGTCGCAACTGATGGCGGGCACAACACTTCAAATGATGTAAAATAGGGTCTAAGCTACAACATATGCAAACATTTTAACAAAAGAGTTTACACGTTTTTAGATAATTTATGGGGGGGGGGGGAATTACATTTTTATTAAAAAAATATGTTTTTTCAATAAATTATACAGTAGTTTGTAAGCTTTTAAATGATATCAAACTCAACCTTTTATTTTTTCCAGTGATGAAGACATAGATGTTTCATGGTAGGGTGGGGTATGCAAAATGGGTCAACTTTGAGCACCTGTTTTGGACCTGAATACCAAAACATTTTTGTTCAAATAAAAAGTGGTGCAGTCAGAAAGTGATTGAAATCAAATGGAACGACCCATATCTGCTTCAGAAACTCATCCTTCATTTCTGATTTTAGGCAGCGGGAGCTGGAGAAGAAGGAGGCGGAGGAAACCTCAGCCAAGGAAGTGGAAGAGTGGGAGCACAGTCTTCTCTCCCAGGCGGCCCAGAATCCAGTGAAAACGATGTGGGAACTCCCTGCCATCGGCCACTTCCTCTGCCTGGCCCAGGCAGCTCTCAACCTCCCGGAGATAGTGTTCTTTGAGCTGGAGCGGTGTCTTCTCATGCCTCGCTGCAGCGTCTTCCTCTCCAAGATCATGAGTTCACTTCTCTGCCAGCCCCAGAGGAGGGGGACGCTCCACCGCCGCCCAGCCCTCACATACCGCCGCTGGGAGTCCGAGCTGCGTCAGAGGGTGCAGGGCTGGTACTATGCTATGGGTACGGCGGAGGACCAGGGCTGGATGGCTGAGCAGCTTGGCCTCTCCCATCAGTTCTTCAGGACGGCCGGGGAGGTTAACCCCCTGGAGGAGAACCCCTTCCATCTCTTACCCTTCATTCAGCGTGTGTGGCTGCTCAAAGGCCTGTGTGACAACGTGTATGAGACCCAGAAGGACGTGCAGGACGCTGTGCTGGGCCAGCCCATCCACGAGTGCCGTGAGTCCATCCTGGGCTACGACGGGAATGAGAACGCCTATATCCACTTCCCGCACTTCTGCGGGGCGGACCTGCGTATCTACTGCCAGAGTGCCAGCATGCCCCCTGACTTCCCCTTTCCAGCTGTCTGGGTCAGGCGGGTGGAGCCTGATGAGGGAATATCAGAGGACTCAGACGAGCAGAAGGACTCTGAGCATCTGGTTTCCATGAAGACGGAGGACTATGAGGAGAAACCTAGTTCTAGCAGAATGAGTGGTGGTAGGATTAAAGGGGAGAACGGGAGCAGGGGTGGGCAATTTCACACATGGGGAATGGAGGAGGAGGATGAGGACTCTTCTGTTTCTGATGAGGATGTTGATAAGGAGGACTGTAAGCCTAATCAGAACAGACACACTGGCTCTTCTGCTCCCTCCTCACATATCAATGACTTTGTGGGCAGAGGGAGTATGAAGAAAAAGCCACAGGAAGTGGAATATAGGCCTGATAGACTCCAGGTGAAACAGGAAGAGGGGTTGGACTCATCCTCCTCAGGGTCGTCCTCAGAGTCATGCGAGACGCGTCTCAGTGTGGGGGAACACAGCTATACGGGGAAGTCCCCTGCTCGCCCTGGTGGGATAACAGGTAGGCCTAGTGTGGCTGTACTAATGAGACAGACTGATTTTAAAGTCGACATGGACAAACTCACTGAGGAGCCGAGGCCATGTCCAAGATGTGTCTCCAAAACGGGGGCAAAGTCAGAGGACAATCATCGCTGCCGTTGTGCCAAGAACAAGGCATCAACAACCTCAGCTTCAGGGGCTGGCCACCCCCGCAAGATGAACTTGACAGAGGATAAGATGGACAGGATTCGGGCCAAGAAAAAGAAAAGGAAAAAAAAGAGGGAACTACGTGCAACAGGTGGACAGCGCAGACCAGACAGGACCCGACTCTGCAATGCCAAGTCGGCTAAATCCACCCTCCAGAGAGCTGCTATCGCCATCAAGAAAAAGGACAAGAGAAAAAAACGCAAAATGGGTGAGTAAAATAACTTTCTGCTTTGCATGCTAATCCTGTCTTCCTACATTAAGCTTTTGCAGTTGTTAGGCCAAATAATGTAAAATCAGTCAAGAGACTAACACATAGTTGCCACCTGTTTGTTTTAAATTAATTCAAATGTTTTGGGCGATTTAATGTCTTAATTACGCAATAAAATAATATTTCTCAACAGGAAAAAAGCTGTCTTCAAAGAAGAAACCTCAACTCCCAGTTGAACTTGGATTTAGGGTAAGCCCCACAGTTCAAATGTAAAAAAAAAAATATATATTTTTTTTTAAGGCAAAATATGGAATAGGAATTAATATGCAATTTGAATCCATGCATGCTCTTCCCCCATCTGGCTCTCTTCATCCAGTTGGTGTGCACCAGTCTAGAGGATCTGAGGGAACTCATCAGCAGGACAGAGGATGAGCTTGATGAGCTGGAGAGCACCAAAAAGAGATCTGTTAATAAAGTAATACATATTTTATTTTTTGGTAGTTTGGCTTATCAAAAAGCATTATAAACAGAAACAACTTTTACATACAGTATGGATGGACTACATCGATACAATGTAAAAGTTAATGATAGAGGGAACACATTTATATAGCTTGTCTACTATGGAAGTATACAAAATAGAGGATACGAGGGAGAATACGAAATACAGTGGTTAATGCTTTCAAGCATTGCGTTTTGTTTATTCTTGACGTCATGTGTTTGATGGATTTACAGGAAAGGTGGTATTTCAGGAGAAAAGCAGTGAAAGATCTACACATCACTCTCATAAGACTGCTCAACGAGCTCTCCCCATGGGAACCCAAACTGGTCAAGGCTTTCCATAGAAACCGGTAAGACGCTTGCCTGAAGGCAGTTATATCATCCTAAAGCTGTGTTTACAAAACATGTCCGGCAAAACACATCACTGACTCCTCAATGCCTGTTATAATGTCATCTGTCCCCACAGGCTACGTTTAAAAAAGGATTATGACGACTTCAAAAAGCACCCTGACTATGAAAACTTTGTCAGAGAGGAGTGGAAGGCAGAGGATGTGGACAGAAGCACAGGTGACAACAACAGACTGACTGAAGAGGAGGAACAGCAGGACCAGACAGTTCAGAGAATTCTGTGGACAGGAGGTAAATTGTGTTTTATTTGTTGGTACAATGGAATAATAAAGGACAGGAGCAGCATATACTAAGGAGGTAAAGTGTGTTTAACCTGCACCCTCTTGGTTAGGTCGTTCTTAATAATTTACCTAGTTAAATTAATAAATATGCATTGAAACCACATAATAACATTTTGAATCAGTTGAATAGTATTGTCAGGGCAATTTAGAATTAATACATTGAATTTGATCTTTTTGCAGAGGACTCAGTGCAGCTTGGAACAGAGGCATTGAGAGGCAGCTTCACCGTGGTAACCAGACAAGAGAAGTTGACCTTGAATGAGAATAGACCTTCCACTCGGGGCTTGAAGCGCCTGCACAGCGGTATAGACGAGGACCCAAGCCTCATTAAGAGAGGCAGGATTGGCAGTAACGAGATGACAACTTCTCCTGAAGGATCAGAAATGGAAAACCGACCCAGGGAAGCAAATCCAGCAGCACAGCAGGCTGGAGAGACAAGCCCAGTTGTTGTAACTCCTATGGCTGGTTTCCAAAGGACCTACAAGCCTATTCAGCTACATACCCTGCTGGCTAAGAGTGTTGGGAATAAGGTGACCTTAATTCATCATCAGCCTGGTACAGGTGTTATCAGCCAAATTGGTCAGGCACAAAGCAAGGACTGTGCTTCTTCCCTGCAAGCTACCAAACTTCAACCTTCTTTACCACAAAGCTCTCGACACCTACCACAACCACCAACAACAACACCAACATCTAAACACTCACATACGGTCCATACCACACCCATACCAAAGAGCCCCATACAGGTTGTATACAAGATGCCTGAGGGCATGGATGTGGTCAGGAAAGATGGAAGCCCTGTGAAAATCGAAGTACAGCCAATTCTGGACCAGAAAACAGGGAATAAGAAAATGCAGCGAGTGGTCATCCTGCCCTCGAACTTGCTCATTCATAAGTCAGAGGATAAAAGTCTGCCCCAGCAACCAAGGACAATCCAGGTCCCAGCCTCCAAAGAGTCCACTCCACTGTCACAAAACTCTGGATTCACCATGCCTCAAAGTCATGACAACCGGATCCCTATACAACAAGTGGCACCGCTAAAGGGAAGAACACCCTCTCCTACCGTCTCTCCTAGGTTGCAGACTACATCTCTAACACCAGGCTACAAGGTTGTCCAACTCCCTGGTCGCAAAGCGAGTAGCACTACCCAAAATGTTATACCAAATAGATCACCATCCAACCCCACCAGTGCAGCTTCTACTGATCCAAGCAAACCTCCGGACCCTAAACAAGAACTGAAGACCGTGTGCATCAGGGACTCGCAGTCCATTCTAGTCACCACTAGGGGGGGCAACACTGGCGTGGTCACGGTGCAGTCGTCTGACCAGAGTACAAATGGTTCGATACCTGCCAGCCCTGTCATCACCATCTCTCCACAGTTCAAAGCCTTCCTGGTGTCCAAGACCTTTCCACCTGCTGCCCCTACAGTCCCTGTAGTCACCAGCTCACCTGTAGCCCAGTCGCAATCTGGACCTTCACTGTTACGGTCTTCAGCTGTCACAAGTTCAACAACTACACGCCAGTCTCCGATCACTGTTGGCATTCCAATGGCCACAGGTCAGACGGCTAGCTCTGCTGTTACCGTTGCTATAAACCAGGGCTGCACTGTCTCATCTACACTTGCTGTTAACGCACAGCTACCTAAAAGCATCGTCACTGTACCTGGTAACCCAGCAGGTGCCACCCAGACGTCTCTGGTCCAGTGTGTCACCAAACCTGTTCTGAAAAGGGTAAGTCCAGATGAGCGGTCCCTCCCATTCACTAAGTTCATCCTGGTCTCTCCCTCCTCGAACAACACATCTGTGGCTGCAACCAAAGTCACTTCCACCACGGCTCCCTCTGCTCTTCCAGGGCAAAGTTTGATGTTTATCAGCCAATCACCATCCACCAGTATTCCAAAACCGGCATCATCAGTGTCTGGACCCACCACACAATCCCTGACCACGTCGATACCCAATGAAGCGATGAAGATCGGACTCGACCTTGGTCAAGCTATTGGCAGCGCTAACTTCAGAGCTTTGAATAAGGTCCAGAGTATCAATCTACTTCCAGGTTCTCAGATAAGGCTACCACAGCAGGCAAACCTTTGCAGGCCAGTTAGTGCACTCGCACAATCTACTTTAAAAAGCACATTTGTATCTGCCTCAAAGTCGGGCCTTCTTGCAACCACATCGTCTCATATTGTCACTAGCACTGCACATTTGCCATCCTCCACACTGCTGACTGGATCTCAACTACAAGGCACCCCTTCATCCTCTGTGATCCCCAATCTAAGCAAGGTAGCTGGGCAGCCAGGGTCTTCTATAATCAGAGGTTTGATCCCCAGCAACACACAACTACCTGTGTCAGTCACTACACCGCTAAGCCCTGTCAAAACATTCCCCCTCACATCACCGGCCCAGGTTTCTCAGTCTCAGAACTCTATCGGTGTCGCCACACATGCTCAGATGATAAGCACTCCACAGTCTCCAACTGCCCCTATATCCACTCAGCAGTCCTCTCCAGTACAGCCGGCTGGCAATACCAATCCTGTCTCTAGCACCACCACCACCACCACTTTGCAACAAAAGATTGTCATCAACACCACCGCTACGCTTGCAGGCGGCACGCAGATTCTGCTCAACAACACCCGTTTTGTTGTTCCTCCTCAAGGCCTTGGGCCTGGCCAGCATGTCCTCATCATTTCCAGCCCTGCAGTGCCTGTGGCAGCTCCTAGTCCCAGGGGAGCGAGCCCAACCACCGGTGTCCCACGAGGGCCAACGTTACCTGGGCTAGCCCTACCTGCACAAGGCCCCAGAATGGCCACACCACCAGGGACACACCAGCCTCAACAAGCAGCACTTAGATCCCCAACCCTGGCAGCACCATCCACTGCGAAAGTTGGACCCTCTCTCCCTGTCTCTTTCACCGTCCCTCGCCAGATGGTGGCTGTTCGAGCCCCACTATCGGCCACCAGCACCACCACCAACAGTTCTCCACAAGTTTCACACTGGCTCCCTGCTCCGGCCACCATACACACTGGCCTAGCTCATGTGGTGGCAGCTCCACATTTAACTCAACCTGAAGGGATGGGCGGCTTCTCACTCTCTTCCGTGCCAGGAAGTCCCAGCGCAGCTCAAACGGCAGGAGTTCCACAAAGCCCATCAAAACGGCTCCCTTTGCACACAGCACTTGGTGTCAACGCACCACTCAAAGCACAGCAGCTAATGTCATTCATGCAACCTATGGGAGCAGTCTCCACCCGGACGAAGGTGCTGCCGACGGTAGCTGTTCCCCCAATAGGGAGCACTGTCTCCAGGATGCAGACTCTACCCGTGGCAACCATACCACCCATCGGGAGTGCCTTCAGTAGCAAACAGGCATCTCCTGTGGTAACTGTGCCTCCATCCAACTGCACTATAATCATGACACCAGCACAACCTATCAGGACGGTAATGTCGGCAGAGACTATCCGCATGCCCACTGTTTTATCCAATCCTCAGCAGCTGCAAATACTGGGCCTGGGCAAGCCCCCTTTGCAGCCTTTACAGGTGCCTGAATCAGCAGTGCAAACAACCAGCCCCCCCACCAAGCAACTAGTGAGTCCTGATGGTGCTGTTTTAAACATGGATAGAGGCCCTACCACCAACACAGGCCTGCCAGAGATGGCTAACAAGTCTTTGGCTGCGTTGATTGTTACTCCTAACTCTACTGGGAGAGTGCCGTTGCATAGCGTAAATACTGAGAATCCCTTAATGCCTACCCAGGCTGACAGAAGTGGACCTATCAAATGAAAGACTGAGACTGAAAGCAAGTACCAGTGTCTGTGATGAAGCAGACACACATTCCAGCTAACTTTGTGTTCTGGACTGCTTTAGAACATTCTAGAATGTTTTTGGTAGAAGGCGGGGGTTGGTTGATAAACTGCCTGGTTGAGCTGCATCTTTACTTTGCATATCTGAGTGTGTTTAAGCGATGCTAGATAAACTCTATAGTTGACTCAAACAGTTTGCTCAAGAAATGTAGGTGGAAATGTATTTGTGATGGTTTTCTATTTCTTGAAGCAAACAGCATTTTGGGGTTGCCTTCTTACAAAGTTTAAATGTGAATTTGGACATTCAGTTTAAAAAAAAATCTTTTCAGGGCCAGTAATAAATATGTTGTAAATTGCTAGGTTTGCAGGGTAGAGCAAATGGATTTTAATATGATTTGTAATACTTTTCATTGACATTGAATATAATTCTGAAATGATATCCATGTAATTCCTTAGATTGGTACAACACTTGTTTTATTCTGTCTACCAGACTCTTAGGACTTTTTCTCTGACCTATTGTAGTATGTTCTTCAGATGTGTGTTGCCTACTCAAGAGGCAGGTCAGTGTCCAAATGTAATTACATTGGTTTTATTTCCACCAACTATTTGGGGAAAAAATTGCATTTTACATGATTGAAGTGCAACTTCTAAATGATTTGTCGAAGCCAATATAAAACATTTTTGAAGTTACATTTATTTATTTTTCCTACCATAGATTTCTCAAAATATTTAGTGGGTACATTGTCATTGGATAACTGTGGACATTTCTGCATGGAAATAAATGGTGCGACTGTCCTCCATAAGAGTTTTGTGGTGTTCATTTGATAATCTCCCGAGTGGCGCAGTGGTCTAAGGCACTGCATTGCAGTGCTAGCTGTGCCACTAGAGATCCTGGTTCGAATCCAGGCTCTGTCGTAGCCGGCCGCGACCGGGAGACCCATGGGGCGGCGCACAATTGGCCCAGCGTCGTCCAGGGTATGGGAGGGAATGGCCGGCAGGGATGTAGCTCAGTTGGTAGAGCATGGCGTTTGCAACGCCAGGGTTGTGGGTTCGATTCCCACGGGGGGCCAGTATGATTTTTTTTAAAACAAAAAATAATAATGTATGCACTCACTAACTGTAAGTCGCTCTGGATAAGAGCGTCTGCTAAATGACTAAAATGTAAATGTAAATAAGGCTCTTGGTAAACTCAACTGTGATTTTTAAAGTTCTTTATTGAAATGTCTGCATCATTTCCAAATCCTCATAAGTACATGTTAAAATATATAAGCCAACAATCAAGCCGGTATGCTATTGTCTTTAACTTCAGAGGAATTCTCAATTGCCGCTTTACATTTGGTCAGTGGTGTAAAGTACTTTAGTAAAAGTAGTTTTTTGGGGTATCTATACTTTACTATTTATTTTTGACTACTTTTACTTCACTACATTCCTAAAGCAAATAATGTACATTTTACTCCATACATTTTCCCTGACACCCAAAAGTACTCATTACATTTTGAATGTTAGGCAGGACAGAAAATGGTTCAATTCACACACTTATCAAGAGAACATCCCTGGTCATCTCTACTGCCTCTGGTCTGGCGGACTCACTAAACACAAATGCTTTGTTTGTAAATTATGTCTGAGTATTGGAGTGTGCCCCTGGCTATATGTAAATTTAAAAAATAAGAAAATTGTGCAGTCTGGTTTGCTTAATATAAGGAATTTTAAATTATTTGTACTTTTACTTTTGATACTTAAGTATATTTTAGCAATTACATTTACTCTTGATACTTAAGTATATTTAAAACCAAATACTTTTAGACTTTTTCTCAAGTAGTATTTTACTGGGTGACTCACTTTTACTTGAGTAAATTTCTATTAAGGTATCTTTACTTTTACTTAAGTATGACAATTGGGTACTTTTTCCACCACTGCATTTGGTTATCTCTAACCTAACGTAGCAGGCGTAAAATAAACACCTGAAACTAGATCCCCAACATACTGGTCTTTCCCAGAAGAATAAAAAACTGTCCAGGGAGGTTCTCTTCTGCACTGTTCAACCAATCCAGTAAATGTGGAGGAGGAGTTAAGATGGAGTGTCGCCTTGTTAACATCCAAAAGTGGAAGTTGCATCACAGTCTCGCTTTCCATTGTTGGGGACTCGGCAGAGGCTTGGTTATCACTGAAATTAACAAACTGTTTCCAAAGTACAATATTGTTAAATTAGATATACTTTACTTTCAGGGATTGAAAGAAAATCTTGTTCTTTGAGCAGCCTTCAGAAATACGCTTGTGGAGCTAAAAGGTCAGAACATTAACATATGAAACTACAGCTTGAAGAATACTTCTATAAACAACTTGTGATAGAGAATAGAGTGCAAAATATTTGTTCTTCACGAGTTTGATAATGTGTTTAATGAAATAACACATGAAGTTTCATATTTTTGGTTATCCCACAGAGGACTGTTGTATTATGGCGAGTAGGGAGGAGGCAGGGGTCCTGATGAGATCTTCTCATAGGCAGGAGGGGCATTGGGAAGCTGAAACACATCAAGACAAATACACACACCATTTAGGAAACAACTAGGATAAACCCCTCTGATAATTCAAATACTATTTCCCTTTTCACAGGATTGTACCGACACGAACCAAACTGTGCTGGCTTGGATATTTTCTTTTCACATCGTCCTTTAATGATTGCTGCAACGATGATGGATGCATAGGTCAGCTCAGTGTGAAAAGCCCTCATGTTGAAATATGACCTTTCCAAGTAAAATTATGCATCGCGCCCCCCCCCTCCCTACTCACACCCCTTGGGGCCCTATGAATTCCAGATCATAATCCCCTCCTGACGTCTGGAGACCTAATCTCTGACTGCACCACCAGCAGCCATATGGCACCAGGCGGCTCACATGCCCCTTCTTCCACAAAGTACCCTTTAATTCCAGGAAAACTAATGGAGAGTTGAACTATAGGTCCTTCCTTGGTGGTTGTGATGTTGTGTATAGTCGAATGAATGCAGTATGCTATGACAAGAGAATGATCATGGCCTGGGTTTGGTCACGCTATTGCCTTCCAGCGCATAACTGCCCATGTCTGCATCATGAGATCAAATCCTGGTTCCACCACTATGCATAAACAGAAACTCTCTCTTCACTCCTCACTTCTCTGTCTTTGTATACAGATTTAAACCTACAGCTGTGTTTACACAGGAAGACCAATTCTGATATTTTGCCCAATTATGGGCAAAAGAGCTGATCTGATTGGTCAAATGACCAATTTGTGGAAAAAGATCTGAATTGGCCTGCCTGTGTAAACACAGAAATAGAGGACAACTCCATTCAATAAAACATCAAATATTATTTTTTAAAAAAGTTCTGACCATTGACTCCCCCAGTACATCCAGTCTGAGTCTCTTACCACAGGTCGAAGCTCACTGAGGCCCATCTTGTTTTCTGCTGCAGCCCTTCCCTCGCTGAACTGTCCACTGAATCCTGGCTGGGACCCTGATCTTGGGCTCTGTGGGGAGAAAACAGGAGAAAACAGGAACATTAGTAAGGGGAACAGAAGGTATAAACCCTGTTGGACAGCAACCAATTACCTATTGCCACAATTCATTTACATTACATTTACGTGATTTAGCAGACGCTCTTATCCAGAGCGATTTACAGTTAGTGAGTGCATACATTATTTAATTTTTATATACTGGCCCATCTCCTTTAGATCTGTGAAAAGAACTGGACAGGTGAAAGATACATATACTGTATATCCCAAGAGGCATTCACCTATTGCTTTCTTACCCTGATCATTTTGTACCCGCTTCTCCTCTTGAAATACCAGCATCCAAGGATGAGTAGGGCTGCGAGAATTACGACCAACAGAGCTATGCCAGCTGCCCTGTGGCGCACCAAAAAAATAAAAATATAATGAATAATACTTTCTTCACCAATGGATCAATTTTAAGATATAATACAGCATAACAATTCGAATGAACTTTTCTGACTACCAGTTTAATTCTACAAATAATATAAATGATCAGAAAACATAAATTCAAGAAATGTTTGTTTCTTTTAGAGTCAATATAATCCACTAACTCTTCGGCCCTGACATGCGGTCCTCTGCTTGCAAAATAAACGTTGAAGTCACCGCGAGGCATCTCTTTCCATCCAGACTTTTACACCTGAGGAACATGATGCAATTACATTTAATTACCGTTATAAACGGTAGGAAACCGTTATTACACGTTTATTCCAACATCAATAACAGGCTAAACTATATAGGCTAATGTCAAATTCTGCCCCTAAAATACGTAGCTACAAATTGAATTTAGGCTAAATTCCAAAGCAACATATCAACATATCAGAAGAGATTTACATTTAATATCCTATAATATTTTCTGTAGGGCTATGAATAATGTTATTTCATTGCAGTAGCATAATGTTGCCTGTACCATAATTAACAGAAAATCTTAAACTTGTTTAACATTGTATAGCCTAGGCTACTATTAATATTGAAATAAATTGATCATTTTGAAAATTTAATCATTTCATAATCTTTTTTCATAGTTCAAAAGAAAACTGAATGGACCTGTCCATCAATGGTCTGTGTTTATGTAGAAAAAGTTACCTAAAGTAGATAATTAGATTGTGAAGGGTCCGGTCCTTCTAAATTGCTTCCCAGCGCTTTTCCCGAAAGCTCTCAGTCTCACTTTTCTTTGCTTAAATCTCTGACTTGAGAAAGGGTTAGAACTGTGAGGGGAGGAAAGGAATTCTCATGACCGTCACGGGTTCTACCGCTCATACTTAAAGCCATTGAACTGGATTAATGAGCGTGAAACCCCTGCAGTACTGGAGCCAGAACACAACTTCTATTATGGACTCTATTATGGAAGCTTTATCTGCTGACTCTTTCTGTCTGACATGGCGCTCAGTCTCAACAAGCTTCATTATTCACATTAATAAGGGAAACTTCATAAACACTTATTCCTATTCTTATATAGAAGTAATACATCAATGATTAAAATATTTAATATAATTCAGTTTGAGTACATTTATTTCATTTCAGTTCATAATAATAACTTTATGTAGCGATATATTGAACATTTCCCTGTACACCCAAGTCACATGTCATTGTCAGCCCAATATGAAACATTTTAGTTATGGAAATAAATGCTATAATTTATTGGTCATAATCACATCTCATAGTACGAAATTACATTTTGATTACCAAAATATGAATCACTAAAATAATACCAAAATATTGCTTTGTCATTCTAACCTAACCTATTAGAATTCCTGTGAATAAGATAACATGTTTTATTGTATTGTAGTTTGCAACGCCAGGGTTGTGGGTTCGATTCCCACGGGGGGCCAGTATGAAAAATAAATAAATAATGTATGCACTCACTAACTGTAAGTCGCTCTGGATAAGAGCGTCTGCTAAATGACTAAAATGTAAATGTAAACGTAATGCAGTATAATGCTCTTGATAGCGTAGGGCTAACATCCTTTTCATTTGTTGCCTATTTTGGAGTTATAGTAGGCATACTGCAGATTATCTTGCAGTATCAAGGAATGGTCTGTAGGGCGCACAATATGACTATATTCTGCCTCACAGTCACCACACTGATCTATAATAGTCAAATAAAGTAGTAAACCACTGCAATGAGCACTGCTACAGAACATACAAACACATATTAGAAAAAAACAGACATGGAGCAGAAATGTTGAAACATTTTAAGCCAATAATAATTGTTTGCCATAGAGTATCAATTACAGAATATGATATGTCAAAATTATTGCGTTTCATACAGTATTGTAAAAACGCTGGAGCTTGTCGGCTGTGAATGCCCTCACCCGCTAGTACTTAATGCTGATTGTTAAGGTTCTGACTCACTACAGGCTGTCCGGCAAGAACAAGGCAGATGTGTCCATATCCAGAGGTTTATTATCTGTTGGCCACCACCACACAGTTGCACACTCACATCATAGACGTAATCTTTGTGGTTTATTTCAGATGCACGCACAACACTTCTAGATTAAAACACACTGATAACTTGGTCGGCAGCCAAATTTGCGTCTTCGTCTGCCGACAACGATAGCCACTCTGACCTGGAGTGGGAGGGGTCAGAGTCCAAATGTGCATTCGGGCACGCTGATTGGTGGAAACCAGGAGGCTGTGACGGACAGCTGAGAAATGGGGAAATCACCCTAACTGTCACGTGCACAGGCATGTCCTTTTTTACAGCCGCCCCTGGACATAAGGGGCCGCCCCGTGAGGAGAGTGCACAACATTACGGGAACAGTGTCTGGCCGCCCCATGGGATGCCACGGGAGTGGCGGAGGATCCTCTAACTCAGCTGGTGCAGGGACGCTGGGGCCCATCCCTGGGGTCTGATTATGGTGCCGGAGACTGGCCACGGCTGGAGGAGGTGGCTCGCCTACTGCGGCGGAGGAATGTGGCACGCCGGCTACAACTGTCGTTGGCAGCTCACTGGCTGCAGCTGAGGTTGGTGACTCTTTCAACACAGCTGAAAGAGATAACTTCCATGGTGGACCAGGTGGGGAGGCTCATCAGGGATCTGGAAGCAGGGGCCAGCTGGGCCCCGGAGACACGGTCAGGTGGTTCCCCAGGTGCGAGGGCAGCAGGCTCTTCCAAAACTAGAGACAGCAGGCCCCCAGAGTCAGGGAACGGTGGGTCACCCAGGTCAGGGGGCTGAGGCCCTAGCATGGCAGGAAACTCAGGGCCTGACAGCGCAGGGGATTTTGAACCTATTACTGAGTACTGCAAGCCATGTATGGTGGGAGGCTGCAAAACTAGCTGAGCAGGGAACTTGTAGCCTAGCTGGTCGCCGGCTAAGGCTGTGGGGTGCGAATTGGCTAGAGGCAGGGACTGCACACCTAGAGGAGCAAATAACTCAGAGCATAGCGGGACAGGAGACCCAGGGCCTAGAACTAAGGAATGAGGTTGGCTTGTAGCAGTAAGGGAGCCGACTGCTTGCCAACTGAGGCTGGGGGCTGTGGACCTACTGAGGAAAGGCTGCGGGCCTAGTGGGGCAGAGAACCTAAAGTCTGGCGGAGCAGTGGACTGAGGGCCGACTAGAGCTGGAGTTGAGTCTGAATACTTATGTAAATAAGGCATTTCTGTTTTTTATTTTTTATAAATTTGCAAAAAATAAATAAAAACCTGTTTTCACTTTGTCCTTATGGGGTATTGTGTGTAGATTGATGAGAATTGTATTTATTTATTCCATTTTAGAATAAGTCTGTAACATAACAAAATGTGGAAAAAGTCAAGGGGTCTGAATACTTTCTGAATGCACTGTAGCTATACAATAGAAATGGTAGGCTATATGTAGCCTATTAAAATAAAATATGTATGAAAAAGAATATATACATATTTTTTAAATATATTTTTCAGTTTCATATTCGCGACCCCCCAAAACATTGTAACTCCGCTTTATGAACCACTGATTTATAAGCATTTATTCAGTGATTTTCTTCTTTGTCTAATACAGTGCATTCGGAAAGTATTCAGACCCCTTGACTTTTTCCAAATTGTATTACGTTACAGCCTTATTCTAAAATGGATTAAATAGTTTTTTGCCCCTCATCAATCTACACACAATACCCCATAATGACAAAGCAAAAACTGTTTTTTAGAATCTCTTGCAAATGTATTAAACATGAGGTGAGTGTTGCTGCACAGCTATTTTCAGATCTCTCCAGAGATGTTCGATCGGGTTCAAGTCTGGGCTCTGGCTGGACCACTCAAGGACATTCAGAGACTTCTATTTGCCATATATTTTTAACTGTGCTGTTTCACAAAAGTTCTGAACCTATATATATATTTTACATTTGTTATCTTGTTGTTATTAGTCCCACCATTCAGCTCCATTCAACCCCTCCCATCCATCTCTTAACACCATCCATATTGGATTTCTATTTGCCATATATTTTTCAACTGTGCTGTGATGCTTCACAAAAGTTCTGAACCTTTCTATTCTCATAGTTTCTACAGATTGTAAATTAAAGATAAACATTTTTGCTAAAAGTATTATTATATTATTGATCGATTGACTATGACTTTTCAAATCTCCCAGTATTGCTATCTGCAGCATTAGCTCCAGGTAAATGTTGCAATTCTTCAGCCATTCCTGGACCTGTGACCAAAAACAAGCTACATATGGACAGTACCAAAATAAATTATCTAATGACTCTGTCTCTTCGCAGCAAAATCTGCAGAGCTGGGAAGGTTGTATACCCCATATATATAACATTCTATTGGTGGCATTCTATTGGTTGTATAATAATTTAAATTGAAAAATTCTAAGTTTTGAATCCAGCGTCGTTTTGCGTGTCAGTTCATAAACCATGTGCCATGGAATCGGTACATCAGAAATCTCTTCCCAACTATTTAGCAATCTATATGGCACAGCTGTCAGTTTTTTGGTCCTTAAATGAAACTGGTATATTTATTTATTTATCACTATTTTCTTTAACCAATTTTGGTCTTTAATGCAGGGCCGACAGACAAGTTCCTTACTTTTTTCCCCCTTCCACTTGCCTCTTCCATTTTTGCGGTAATGCTGAAATTAGTTGGTTGTAATTTTGGGTAGTGCAGATATTTCCATATATTTTTGTTAGCTGCATGTGTGACACCAGTCCCATTTATGATATAATTTACTAAGATTATACCATTTGTAAAACATTTTATCGAAAAATATTGGTTTTCTATCAATTAGTATATTTGAGTTTAACCACAATATTTGTTGTATTATTTATTCTGTCTTTTCTGGTGGATTAAACTGAAATTGCAACCAACTTTCTATGGCTTGTTTTAAAAATAGCGATATTTTGGAGATTATTTCATTTTCAAATAACTGAAAGTGAGGGGTTGTAATCTGGTTTGCAATTCCAAATAAAATTGAATATTTTTTAGTGTTCCAATACGTTATGTATATTTATCATAATTTGGTTTTAATCCATAGAGATTAGAAAAAGTATCTAGATCCTTTATGAGGCTGTGGAGGGATCCAAATTGTGGATTTAAAAGAAAACATGAATCATCAGCGTACAATGACACCTTTGTTTTTAAGCCCTGGATTTCTAACCCCTTGATATTATTGTTAGATCTGATTTTAACAGCTAACATTTCGATGGCAATAATAAATAGATATGCCGATAGTGGACAACCTTGTTTTACTCCTCTTGACAGTTTAAAACTTTCTGAGAAGTAGACATTATTTACTATTTTACACCTAGGGTTACTATACATAACTTTAACCCATTTTATAAGAGATTCTCCTAAATTGAAATATTCCAGTAATTTATATATAAACTCCAGTCGTACTTTGGAGGAAACTGAAACTAAAAAAAATGCTTAAAGTACTTTACTTCCTCTTTCAAAATATAGTTTGGTGAATCATGGGTGACTCCGTCATTTGTATTAAGTTTCAGTAAATTATTTTTGGTAGCATTTCTATGTTTTCCCCGCTGAAAAAGTTGTAATACCATTGGGCTAGACACGTCTGAAATAACATGCATTTGGTAAGGTTGTTATATAGTTATGATCCAAACAAACACATGGGAACCTAACTTACTTATTTGATTCAAGACTAGTCAAACATACAACAAATGTTTTAAATTATTTAATGCTAGCTAGTTCCACGGGGGTCAGAATGAAATTGTATGCACTCACTAAAAAACT